TGTCCTCTCCTTCATAATATCCTTTTGCAACTGTAATAGCAGAAAGTGGCTTATTTTCTTCGAATGTGTATTTCAGATTAATGATATTTTGTTAGATTATTGCCCTGTTAAAGTATTTTTCCTTAAGTTCATATTGCTAATATCTTGAAAGGAAAAAAAAGGTATTTTGCATTGAATTACATATCATTGTTGTGTCGTATTGATGTTTAGAAGCTCTAAAGCTTTTATGTCCATGTTAGTGATTTAAACAACAGTAGAGGAATTAAGTTTGAAAGAAATGTTCTTTCATGCAATATTAAACTAGTAAAGTAACAAGCTTTTTGCGTTGATTACTCTGTGTACATTGTTTCATATTAAAGTAAATAGCCTTGTGGTAGTTGTTCTCTGCTAACACTTGAACATCATTTATAGGAAGGTATGCAATTAAAGACATTTAATTTCTCCAACTTCACTGTAAATGTGTAGTGAATTAACTTTAGAAATAGGTTGTTCATGGTAGGGGCTTTCTGAGAATAAGTGTTGAAAGATGTGAGTCGAAGTTGAAAACCTGGATGTTGAATAACAGTTCTTGGGGTGAAATCCCAATGGCCTTTTTGTCACAAATTATTAGTGATAATTGTCACTACTCACTCTCAGGATCTGAAAACCATCTGCCACTGCTAATAGAGCACTATCAATCTGAGTTATTTTTTCAAAACTCTTGTCTGGGATCTCACATTGCAGGTATTAAGTGAAAGTTTATTTCTGTCTGAGAAATGAAGGTATGTCAGCTGTTGAACTAATCCAAGAAAAAATCACAGGCCCTTCTTGCACATTTTGCCTGTGATTCTGACCCTGCCCAGTTAGAAGCAGGTCTTTCTGTCACAGATCTTCTGACCAGTCTCTTTCCCCTATTCTGCGAGCAGTCCTCTTTTACCTAGGCATGTGTTAAAAGCCTATTACCAAAATGATAACTTTTCATAATCTACACATAGGAGTTAGATTCTGTGTTTGCTTGGTGTGCTTCATCTCTCGATGTAGAGAGAAGGAAATATAAACTCTGGCAGGATTAATCCCAACAAATGTTGAGATTAACAGCAATCTTTTCCTTAGAGTAAAGTAGAAGTAACTTTTGAGGGTGAGGAATAGTGCAATTAGTAATGATTTTTTCTGTTAAAAAAAATTGAGCTATTATTAAACTCAGGAAAAATCTAAGTTCCAAAATATCTCTAGAACAGTGTAACTTTGAAAGTCTTTCCAATTGGTACTTTCTGCATCAGTTACCAACAAGCATTTTTGTCTAACAGGAGATATTAAAGATGCTGCCTGGGATTTTTGAAAACTGATAAAAACAGTTCTGAGAAAGAGGTATGACCTTCATCCCTCAAAGCGGTATTTAACTGCCTACATTACTTGACATCCAAAAAACAAAGGCTTGCAAAAAAGAGACTGATAAGGTACTAATACCTGCATGTAGGCTACATCTTCTAAGAGTGTGCCAGAATTTGTCTGACAGAAGGCAGAAGACAGACAGTATGGATTGCTGTATTTTTCATCAAGTGGCTTGTACCATCTGTATATATTTTACATGTGCCTTTTGAGAGGCAAGGAGTGTAACTTAGATCCCCCTCGGCTTTGTTCTCTGCCTCTGCACCTACCATTTGGCATAAGATGTAGCTAGTAGAAGAAAACTAAGATTGTTGGGGCTTTTTTCTTTAGTTGCAACAGCTGCAAAACAGATGTAGGCTGACATGAGTTCTGCCAAAAATCTCTTCCAAGTCTCCCACCCATTTTCCACCAAAGAGAAGCTAGTCAGGTGATACAAAGAGACCTGAAGGTCAGAAAGAGAGCTCCCAATCCTGGCTGTATGGAGACTGTTAAAAAGAAACAATCAGAAAACCTAGATTTACTGCTTTGGAAATTAAACCAACCAAAATTTCTACAATTACTATTCCAAGGAGTCTGATATCAATAGAAAATAAAAGGCAATTTGTACATGTACCACAGCAACACGGCAGCAGAGAAAGTCAACTGACAGCAGGAACTCATAACTGGTGTTCACCTAACTGGCATCCAAGTCTCTTTTTAGATGTATTTTCAGTATCTCATTAAGCAAAATACCATGGTCTTGCTGGTCAAATCTTTGCTGAAACACAGTTCCTAGGATTCCAGTTGTTCTGTTACGTGAACCTCAGTACTGAGAGGGAGTCAGCTTTCTGTGTACATGTCTCAGGTTTCTGCCTACCTCTCCAACTTCTGCTTTTGGTAATACTTGAATGTATCATGTGGTATTTTTCAGAGTATCTTGACTATTACAAATGCATTCAATTACATTCGCAGCAAAGAAATAAAAACCTGGAATCTTTCCACTGTATCAGACTACTGATTAAATTGTACTGCTGACAAAACTGTGGCTGTTGGGCACTTGCAATCCAGCTTGGCTTAAAGGTAGTATCCAGCAATAGCATAAATGTCTAAATAACCAGTCATCTAAGCATGCTTATATTTGCACGGGATCTGAGTGGGCTAACATTGCTAGCAGTGTTAAATCCTCTGTGCTGGCAAAGATGGAGGACAAATGCTACTCATGTAGTTACACTTCCCTTTCCTTACATCGGTATCCCAGGAACCTGGAATTTAGATGCTAACTGTATTTATAAATTGGGACCTGAGAACCATGAGGATTAACCTGAATGATGACTTGACTCATTGCATTTTTACTGGCTGTAAAGTAATGCTGTTTTCCTCATGGAACCATCTGCTTGCAGAAGAATTGCTTGTGTTATAAGTCTCAGTCACTCACAGAGATCAGTATCCTCCTGAGAGATGTTTGGATGGATGCTCCTGAAAGTTTTTGCCTTTCACTATTCACAATAACAGTAGCTACCAAGGTACTTTGACTGACTTTCTGTTGCATTTCCAGATTTATGTCTTCATTTCTAGTAATTAATTTTCAGTATGGTGTCAGTGTCATCTGTAGGTGCATTGCTTTTATTTTAGGTTGCAACCTTTAGTTTGGAAACCAGTGAGCTGTGGATCTTTCTTACAGCAAGTACTGACATGGGAAGTCTTGGCTCACAACCTCACATGGGCACAAGTTTACCAAGGGTGTTCAGAGGACTTTAGCAATGACTTGCATGAAATACATTTCCATGTTATACTGCAGATAAACAGTATGCATACCTACCTGCTTTCAAACATGTATGAAACATGTCTCTGGTGGTACAAGAATGGCAAGTTTGAATGCTAAGAAAAATTAGTTAGGTATCTCTCTTCAGTGATTGACTGGAATACTGATATAAGGATTTAATTATTTATGTTCAGGCCATCTAAATAGTATTTGGACCTTATGATGAGGCAGCAGACAAGGAAATTTCAAGGAAGAAAAGCACTGTGCATGTTCCTGCAACAAAGAAATAGAGAGAAGTTATAGTGACTCTAGTTTGCCAACTAGTGTGAAGGAAGAAATGTGAACTTCTAGGTTTAAGGTAGTTTTGATCTGTCAAGTTTTCTATGTTGAGTTTGGATAATGGACCTTGGCCCTACACTGTAGTCAATGGGTGTGTCATCTAATGCGGTCCTTTCCTAGAAAATCCCTACTTCAGCTGTGGCTGAACAGCTCTCAAACCTGCTCAACAACATTGGTGGATACCCTCAATCAGACACACCAACAGTACAACCACGTATGAAGCAAAGTTCTGTGTGTCATATCATCAAAGGTTAAGAGGTTTGGTGATCTGAATGTGTTATCTTAAAAAAAAAATAAAAAATGACTATAGCACTGAGTTAAACATCAACAGTTCACATTAAAAAAAAAATAAATTCTTGCAAGTAACAGAGTAACTGACAAAAAGTGAAAACATTGATAGTTGATTGTAGTTTGAAACCAGACCCACTGGCCAGCTGGACAGTCTCAGGCATGTCGATGATTCATCTGACACAGAATCCCAGGGAGTGATTTCTTGTGAGCCTGTTCATTTGGATGTTGATGCAGGTTTCTATTTAAATCAGCAGCTGAAGTGTGAATTTATCTGTGACATTTTTAAGATGGTTCATGAGGCCAGAATTTGACTAATGATACTCCCACTGATCTCCTGCTAATTTTGGATTTATAGGTGTTGTACCATACCCAAACTTACAAAAGTCTGGTCCTTTTTTATTTTTATTCTTTTATTTCCACTCTCTCTTTCTCAGTTTTCTTTTTTTTTTCTTTTTTTTTTTTTCCCCATTTGATTTCATTTATTTAAACGGACTTCACTGACAGCAACAGAATGACTGTCACTGAGTTCAGTAGTTTGGCTCAGGACCAAATGTACCTGTTTCTGAGAGTAAAAGGAATTAGGTGGATGTTAACGAAACTTTCAGCAAAGCTCCTCTGGTTGTGGCCAAAGTATTCCTTAGCTGTAGTGGTAGCAAATTTCCTATACTGATAGCAGCTGTAGCATAACTTCCCTACCTGCATGGTGGCATGAGTAGGAGGAGATTTTATTATCACATGGGATGCGTTCACCAATTTCTTACTGATATGTGCTGAATTTCCTATGCTTTGTCTGTTACCTTTTCCTGAAAGTGTAACTGGACTAAACCTTAAAGTGTGCTCTTTAAAATAGAGCTTTGGCTTAAAGTGTTAGTGAAATGATAGGAGAGAGACATTCTTGAGGTATTACTTATTAAGACACTAATCAAATGATACACATCCTGTACTGGTTGGATGCACTGAGAGTTGCCAGAAGTGGGAAGGAGTTGAAGCTTTGCAGAAATTCTACAGAGAACTGTTAGGAAATGAAACACTGAAAGGTTTTAAGCTAAAATTTGACGTGTGTGAATAGAAGCAGCAGTTCACTTTTGTCAGAATTACTGCTGCTTTCCTGATTTACAGTGAAGAATTCATAGGTATGAAAGCAGGGATGTGTCTCTGAGAGAAGAAAGTTTGAAGAATGGAACTTAAGCATGTTGTTGTCTTTGGGCTTGTTTCCTTTTTATTTGTCATTACTTCAATTTTTTAAATATTTTTTTTTCAGATTCCCAAGAAGGAAACTACAAGTCAGAGGTCAACAGTAAACCCAGGAAGGAAAGGACAGCTTTCACCAAGGAGCAAATCAGAGAGCTAGAAGCAGAATTTGCTCATCATAACTATTTGACCAGGCTGAGGCGATATGAGATTGCAGTAAACCTTGACCTCACTGAAAGACAGGTACTGATGCAAAATAATGGACTATAAATGCTTGCCCAGTATCTACCCATGGTTAGTAACTCCTCATATTAGAGCTCTTGTTTATGTTACTAACAGATATGTTGATATATCAGACTGAATATCAAAATGATACACATTTATTAGCTCCCTACTATGCAAGTAATTTATATTTTTATAGGTACCAGTTAAAGACTTGCTTCATCTAGGAGACTGAGATGACAGATAAAAGCACAAGTAATCTATCTGATAAACTGATGCACATCTTTTCTAATCTGTCCACACTGATGTGTCTGAAGAAATGGTAGGTTCCAAATACTGTACGCACAAGCAGTTGATTGGCCTGCATGCAACAAATATGAGCATCTTGTTTTAGTCATTAAAGATATGCAGTTGCCATTTGTCCAGAGTTTCTGAACATCCTGTTTCCAGATGGCAGCAAGAATGGGAACACCAGCAAAACTGGAATACAGGCATTTTTAACCACTTTATCTCACCCTGCACTATAAAAGCAGAGGAGATGATGGAATTTCTTATCACTGTTACGGGTTTCCTGCTCACCAAACCCTGGCTCGGGAAACAGTTCTGCATGTGCTTAAGTTTCATCATGCATGTTGTCACATTGATTTCTAATGGAAATGTTCATGTTAAGCATGTACTGAATTGTTTCAGGATCACATCCCAACGCATTAAATAGGTAGTCAAGTCACATTTCAAAAAATAATTACATCAACATACACATTTTAAAAATGTGTTTTAGTAAAAACATTTAGAATACTGGATTCAAATACACCAAATCTGATGAAATATTACCTACGGTTTTATCATTAAAATTGAAAGTTTTTTGCCCACTGACAGCTAGTCATCCTTTCTTTAGGAATTAATTTTAGATTAAGGGATTGCTTTAGTTTACAGTCATTAACATGATGATACATTCAAGGGAAGGTATCAAAATAGCACCATGATTTGTGAACCATATAAGAGAAGTTTTTCCAGTTTTCTTGAGTTTCATTAACTCCTGCTATAAGTAGACATCTCAGTGAAAATCCAGCCTTTTCTACACATATGAATACACATTTACTCACACAAGCAAATGAAACAAGTTGGGTTTGTTTTTTGTTTGTTTGTTTGTTTTTTTTCTCCTTTGAAAGCTTCTAGAGAATGGCTGTCCCTTCCAGCTTGACAAGAAGAAGCCAGTAACTTCTCTTGTTTGACTTGAAAACATTGCCAGGTTTCACTGAAATAATTTTCAGTTACTTAAATAAATTTATTATATTTTTAAAGCAAGCCATTTTGTATCAAAGAATTGATAAAATTTTGCCTTTTACATTCCTACTGACCAAGGTAAGCCGAAACAATTAGATTAACTTCCACACCTGATTTTGAAAGCTAGGGTGAGGAGAAATGAATTCTTGTCTCTGTGACAAAGGTAGACTCAGAGTGGAACATTAAGTAGATTTAAAAAACATATGCTGGCCAATTCAATGGGAATCAGTAATCTGAATTCAGAAAACATATCCCCATTTTTACAGTGGTGAATTTGGCCTGGAATTTAACTATTCTCCCTATTAAATTCTTTATTATTTTCTTCAAAGAGCAAGTTGAGTAGTAGAACTGAATGAAGAGACAGTTCAGTATCGTTAAGGAAACAGTTAAATTAGAAGTATACTGGAAAGAAAGAGATAAATATTGAATGTTGTCTCTGGAGGAGAAAGACAGCCTGTGCTATACAACTACAGAGTATTCATATGAGTCATGGGAGCACTTGCTGTTTTCTAGCTGCCACATAATGTCAGTTCTAAGCATTTTGCTGATAATTTGTGATAATTTCTATAGAATTATAATTATTATATCTAATTATGTAATATAATTCTTCTCTGCTTCCCCAGATTATCACAGTGACAACTGAGCTGCTAGAGATAACTCCCCTCCTTCCTGCTTTCCTTCCTGTTTTCCTGCTTTCCTGCTTAAAGCCACCCTTACTTAAAAATCTTAATGCTTTCCTTTTTTTTAACTTTATAGAGTCCAGTTCTCTATCTTGCCACAATAGTCTGAGGAAAAAAAAAGATAGCATTAAAACTGCATAGCTAATAGAAAACAAAAAGAGAATTGAGAAAAAATTCTTTTTCAGTTTCTGAATCGTACTAAGCCAAATAATGATGTCACTTCCAATGCTCTCAATTAGAAACGTCTCTTTTTAAAATCAAATATGTTACTTTGATGAAAAACTGGTGTAAACAGGCATGGAACTGGGTGTGGGTTTCCATGGTATATGGCAGTCTTCAGAAGCTGAATGCAGTAAAACAAAAGGTTTGACTCTTCTTGAATTCCTTCAGTGACTTAAAAAAAATACTCCAGGGTGAACCTGATCTGACACTTAATATATCTTTTCTTACAGTTATGAGAGTGAACTCATGTTCAGGACCTGTCTTTCCACCATTAGCAGAATGAATGATTATTCTTGAATGGGACAACATCACCTATTTGCTACTTACTACTGTTACTACTTTCTTTTACTAGCCATCCCAACAGAGGATGTCATATTTTATACCTATCTTAAAAAGGTGCAACAAAAACATTCCTTTCTCTAAAATTATTATGACCTAATTAAAATGTATTGATGGAATTCAAAAAAAAACCACTCTCCAGTGATGTAGCATTTTTTAGAAAATTTATGAAACAGTTTTCCTTTACTACTTTTCACTCAAAGGCTGCATTGCAGAAAAAGGTACTTGATCAGCAGTAGTTCCTTTGTTTGCAATAAGTGAACACACAAGTGATAACCTCGATCTCATCACAGGCTGTAGACCTATTTGTGTTGGAAGCTCTCTTGATCTCTCATGAAACACTGAATTTGCACAGAGACTGGGTTTTTAAATAAATGACAAGCATCATATTATTAAAAGGGCAGAAGAACAAAAAAATAATCTGAGGAAAGTATTGTTGTGTCATCCTAAAATTACAACTTTCTGTCCTTTTCCAGGATGTGAGATAAAAACTGGAGCTTATTATCTTAAGAAAGCTCTATCTTCCTCTTGACTACATTGATAATTTCAACCATATGCTGCAGCTTAAAAGAGGCACTGACCAACTAACACTTCATAATTACCTTTCTGGCATTTAAACAAGCTGTAGAAAAACACATATGTCTGGCCATATTTAAAAAGCTATATGAGGGTATTAAAGTTTTCTACAGTCATCAAAGTAAGGCTCCATTTGACTTTTGAAACAACTTACAAGATCAGTTCAAACGTAAATGACTCATGGAAGGCCATTTCACAAAAATAATAATGAAAAAAACCCCTCACAACATATGGATCAGGAGAAGGAAGTAATCCTATCACTCCCTAAAAAGGAAACCTGAGTTACAAGACAGGAGGATGAAATGAAATGAAATAAGTGCCTCAATTGCCTAGATATTAAGAGTGCACTTTGAGAGCATTATAAGCACATCTGGTGGTAGGATGGCTCTATTATGGTATTGTAAGAATTCCAGAAGTATAGGTACATATAATTCCTGCTCTGTCTCCTATGGAGTGCTCTTACAATCCCTGCTCAACCAGCAGTTAATAATTTTCAGCTGGCAGGCCTCTATTATATTTTGAAGAGTCAAGACTAAAAACTATCTTAGCTCCCTGGATATTTGTAACCTTGACAAGCGCATTCTTGGCTTTTTTGTACATCCAGATAAACTTGGAGAAGGTTCCATGCAAACCTTTTAATATCTCACTGTGGGATGAGGAGAGGAAGCAGCTGCAGTGGGGTATCAGAGGCGTGGCAAAACGGACATTTTTATGGAGTTGGTCCTGCCAAATATAGAAAGAGTAGGAGATCTTTCCACCTCACAAGATCTTTTTGCATGGAGCTAATTAAAAGAGTAATGTTGCAGTTCTGCAGGCTAGCTAAGGTTACCGGAATAAACAGTCCAAATATGTAATGCTTCTGTTTGCCAACATAAATGGAAAATCCCACCTAGTCAGATTAAGTTCTGCAGATGGCAATGAGAAGGTTTATTTCTTCTTAACTTTATTTTCCAATACCTGCCCAGAAGCCACCAATCATTCATAAAGGACCCGAAGCCATTGATTTTGCATAGACAAAAGACAAAATTTTCTTATTTTGAAGAATACTTTTGCATCTGGCAGGGGGGGCAGACGAGATGATCTTTCAAGGTCCCTTCCAACTCCTAGTATTCTGTGATTCTGTGATCTGTGTTTGTCTTCTATGTATGTGGTACCAACACAGGATGAGTGAGAAAGGAATAAGCTTTGTAGTGCCGCCTTCTACCAGAAAGAGAAGCAAGCAGCATTCTTATTTAAAAACATTTGGGCAATATTGGTATAGTACCATAACCCACACTGTAGCACTTCACTGTTGTGAATAGACAAATAATAGAAAAGTTTCCTCCAGACCCAATGACCTCAATCCTTCATCACAAGTGATTTCAGCAAAACCCTTTTTGTCATCACAGAGCTCAGAGGAGGCTAATCACTGCATTTTTCAGACTTCATTGGTAAGGTAAAAGTAGCTCCCATTAGTCACCCTGGTGAGAAGCCTGGGAGTTCAATGTTTCACAATTGGGTGTTTGTTCTGAACAGCCTCTGGAAGTGTCAGTGTCTCTCCATGCATTACACTTTATGACTAGATTGCTACTTTAGGAAGCTAGATTTCTAATGTTAGGTGATTAAATTATTCTCCCATATACTTTCAAACAAAATCACACAGTGGATTGATAGGACAAGCTTGACCATATCTGTCTGATTTATTGTGCTGTCATGTCTTCTCTGAAAGGCAGCTGCTCATTCCAAGCTTTAATGTGCTAAGCCCTCTCTATACACACTATAATAATGAGCCTGTGTAGCTTGAAATCCTTTGGATTGTTTGTTTTATTGAAAGTAACACTCTTAATAAAATAAAACTCACTAATACATTTATATTTATCTTAAGCAATATAAACACCAGCAATAAGAGTTACTGTGCTAACTCAAGTTTTTTCATTCTTA